TCTCTCTCTCTCTACTTCTTTCCTTGCACCAGTCGATTATCCGAGCCCGTCAACGAACCGATGCTAAAACTGGTAGGGTGGCTGGCTGACAGGGCTAAAATAACCCGTCCATGAATGTTGTCAATCTGCCTCTCTCCGCCCCCCTCCCCACAACACATCAGGATTTTACACAAAGGGGACTGATAAGGATGCTTACCACTCGCATACACAGCCTCCTATGCCCCCTGCAAGCACCTGGCAGGCAGTAGGTAGACTGACAGAGCGTGGCCCGTCTTCCTCGGCTGCACAGACAGGAGAGGCGACGTTTAAAAAAGGGGAGGGGGGGTAAATGCAAGTGAATTGTCCGGAATTTGAGCACTCACAAGGAAAGATGGTGACACAGGCCTCGGGAACAAGCTTCAGGGCACCATGATAATTGCATTTGGTGCAGATTATCTGATTGGAAATAAGATGGTATTGAGGATTGGTAATACGGAATGTATGAAATGGAGACTGGCGAAAGGCCTCGGCTAAGCCAATCGGATTCTTTGAACCCACGTCGAAAAGAAGAGGCGAGTTACGATGGCAGCATCTGGCGACAGACTAAAAAAAAGAATTTTGACCTACAGTTAAGGTGCGCAAAAAAAACTCAGTTTAATGAAAAATGGGAGATAATTGGGTCAAGGCAGCAGACTCTGTAAAAAGAACTGAACAGATGCGTCTTTTGGAAACAAGCAGTCCTACGTTCTGTCAGCCATTAAACAGGATGTACGTCCTCGGCTAGCACAATATGCCTAAGTAACATCATTCTGACGACTACCGTCATCAGGTAATGGACAAATTTCCCGGTGATCAGAGCTGCGGCGTAAGATCACTTGAAAGTAATTTTAGAGCAAACGATGGCTGCATAAGAGAACAACAATCTAAACTAAGTATGGATAGACTGTTACTTCACAGACAGAGTTGTCGAATTCGTCCTCCCTGCACCAAACCGACCATTTGCAAGCCGTATAAATATTAAAAAATGTGCCTATTTTAATTAATAGAGTAGGCTGTTATGGGAGTATAAATAAAGCAAACCGATAAAGGATGGATCAAACGGATCGGATGGGAAAATTCAGGGGGAAGGATGTGCATGACGTTGAGTTAAAGGGAATGCATGCTTACTGAGTAATCTGTGCGGCCGTTCAAACGAGAGACAGAATGAAGACCTCCACTGGCACGAATTTCAGTTCTACCTGGTTCGTTCCCATTGGCCAAATCCATGAGAAATACAAACAGCTCGTGGACATCCTGCAAAAAGGCGCAACAAGAACTGAGTCAGGAAATGAAGTGGGGTATTCTATCTTTATTTATAGCCAAAAGTCATGAGTGGGTGTAGAAAATACCCCTTAAAATACTTTTACAAACTGACGAAAATGAATATTTCAAATAAAATCGACCAAAACTGAAAACATCCACAATGTCGCCTGGAAAGGAATCGTGCGCAAGCAGAGTAAATGACACAGTTGCCGAAGATGATTACTATCTGCAAGGCTAGAGAGCATTTCAGTAGAGGGCATTTGTGATTCACAGATTCGTAATAAACGAGCCCGTCTGCCTGATTTTGGAAAAGTTCACGAAGAAGATGGAAGGGCGTGAAACCTAAAGTAGTCCATTCTTTTCAACAGTAAAGGGTCGAAAACGCAACATTTATGAAAGTCAACAATCTGCCAGCATCTTCTAAATATATTACCTCCCACTTAAATGTGATGCTCTCATGTATAACCGAAGTACGTGTTCCGCGCAGCCGTTGTTAGCAATTCATTTGGAGCTCTTTTTACCTTCACAGCACTACCTTCCACAGCGAGTGTGTGCGACTGCCAGAGCACAGCTCAGCCAACCTAGACAAACTACTGGCAAGCCAGGAGGTCTGTTTGGGTGATGACAAGGTACAGGACAGGCAAGGATCACCATAACTGTTACTGCGGGGGGTTAGAAAACTGGACTCTGAGCACTATCAAGCAGTCAACCGTTCAAGTGACCGATTAAGAAAAACTCGTGGCCTCGGTGGGATTCGAACCCACAGCAGCAGCAGTGAAGGCTTTAGTACAGTGAACGCAGTCTTGTGACGTCTGTTCTGCAAACCACTCAGTCAAATAAGTAGTCTTTGTCAGGCAAATTCTCTCGTTTATGCACTACATATGCGCAAAATACAAGTTTATATGAACCACCTTTTCCATTGCCATCCAGTCCTCAGTGGAGGAGCAAGACAAGTAGCCAGAGGCGATGAAGCAAATCAGGTGAGAGGCTTAATACCCTCATTGCATGGGAATAGTGGGACCAGACACTGCTATGTAAATTACAAACACATTTTGTCCAATCCTGGTCGGGAATCATGGGTAGAACGGATAATTTGTTATGAGTATGTATTTTAAGTCTTACCTCCCGTAAACTGCATTAGCAGCGTCTATAGACTGCAGCGGTAAATTCAGTCACATTACTTCGTCTGTGGCACAACAGTATATCTTTCAACTAAATCCAAAAGTTTGACCTTCAAAATAACCCTGTGTACTATGGTTTCCCCTATGTTATTGAAAACAAGTTTGACAAAATTTAACTTAGGGAGGCCGAACGCATTGGAGGTTTCCCCTAAAATTAAGACAAAAACAGTCCTTGTATCGTTGGAGGAACGATTGATTCTCACATGACTCACTCATCCTCATGGAAAACATATATGTTTATGTGAAGCTGCCTGAAGGCGCACGTACCTGCTGTTCATTGACTGACCATTTCTCTGTCAGATTAAGCTGATCGACAAAAGTTCGGTGAGCGTCTGCTAGAACCTCCACAAGATTGTGCTTCCTCAAGTATCCGGATGAACATCGAAGTCCTAATGGTAAGAAAAAAGGTTCGTTTAAGCACGGAATTTATAGAATAGGAAAATGTTAAAGCAACGATAGTTTGACCGCGGCGGACGATGAGATTCGCTTAAGACTCACGAGGCAGGCTCAGCCGTAATTTGCAGGTAAATCTGTCTACAGAGAAGCCTACTTTCGACGCAACCACTTCGCTCCCTATTCCCGAACCTACTTTGTTCTGATAATAATTCATGATCAAGGAAACCGTGGCGGATAAAATAAAGCAGCCCGCTTGCGCATGTCCTAGAGCACCAGATACTTAAGTTCACAAGTACTAGACTTCATGGAAAGGGGTGGGGGCTCGGATCTCGAGGAAGTAATTTTCATAGGAAGAATGCGTTGCAGTCTGAACCTCGCTCCAACGGAGGACGGTTAGCTATTGAGCTGGTAACCTCCCGTGCCACAACGTTCAGTGTGTAGCGAGATGTCAAAGTGCCTCAGATTTACTTTATGCATTGATATACCGTGAGGAAGCACTCCTCGAGATCCGCTTCACACTTCCTACTACCTTCCTGAGAGCCAGTGAATCACCCGAGCCTGGCACTGATATTGGGCGCAGCGGCTCACAGCTACAGTCTATGGTGCGTTACGCGCACGCACACACACGCACACATACAAACACAACAGTCTGTCCATTATTTTCTACGTCGACCGACAGAAGTGTGGGGTTTAGATGTAAGGAATGGATGGTCCTAAGGTACGCGAATTTGGCCAGAAATTGGTTCCTAGAACGGGTCCAGCGGGAGTTGCGCGGCAGCAATACGGACGCTTGATCTGGGTACGGCACGCATTAATCGGGAAAAGGCACCCATAACAAACGTCACATGTGGAGGAGTGTGGTGACATACGTATGCGCAGGCCCAAGATGCGCCAGTCCGTCGCCTTCAATCCCATATTTTCAAAAGGGAATTTTATTCGAAGAAGAACATAAAATGGATACGCAAATTTATCAGAGAAACGTACCTTCCAAAAGAGCCACAAGGCAGCATAGCAGACGGTCCCGACGTACAGCGGCACTGCGTTTTAGTGACTTAATCAGACTGCGATTTGACGCCATTGCCTGAAGAAGGGCGTTTAAGTAGCAGAGATTGGAATTATTCGGCAGGCCGATGGGGAGAGATTTGTGACGAGCTAAAAGAGTAATACTAGAATACTGAACAGCCCATTTACTCTGCTTAGGTAACTACACCGCAGCTAAATCTTGGAGATATACGAAAAACAAATTCTTTTTTGTTAACAATGTTCATTTAAAAAACGATACCCTGGAGGCAGGGATAACCATTCAATTCGCCGTGGCCTAGAATTTTAAGCCACATGAAAATGACTTTTTCAATCTATCCTAACCGCCGGCCGGAACACAACTTACTCTCCTTTAGCTTTGAGCTCTGATTCGCTGTTTTAATTCACTCGCACTCTTATGCATTCCAGACACTCGCCTAGTGAAGCGTCTTACTGGAGACAGTGATTATGTTAGATTCGGCTAACTGCAAGCTCCCAGGATGTTAGATGCCATAAAAGTCTCGTGTGGAGGGAGAGAGCTCATCAATCGCATCACGGGACGTGCTCGTCCTGTTGGAACAAGAAGCATCCGCACAGTTGCTAGTAGTACAGGCAGAATGACTGCCGACAAAGATAGGAGAATTGAATGGCCATTACGGGCTTATCAATAGTCACCAGCTATTCATGGTCAATAGCAGTTTCACAACTCCTGAGACTTGAACTCGCGCCCTGTTGGTTAGAAGCCTAATGTTAAAGCAAGGAGCAATTTTATCGCTCGAGCCCCCGAGGTTGCAATTCTGCGTTTGGATATAAATAGCAAATGACAGCTAAAAGGCCAGAAATGGCCATTTCATTCTCCCTTATCTTTGGCGGTAGGCACTCGCGCTAGCACAGTCCTACAAGAATTTACAACAACTGGACAGTCAAACGTTCACCAAGTACCCCGCGCGACGAGAAACTTGATCAAAGCCAACTTACATGCTACAGTCCCGCCCTTAGTTGACGACTTCAACGCGGTCTAAAAAAATCGCAGGAGTCAGCGCAGATAGTTAAACCGTTGAATCAAAGTGCACCCAACATGCATTACGTTAGTGGGGTATGAGTACTATAGGAATTCAGCACGTTCTCAGACAGCAGATATTGCGAAGGACTCACGGGTAAAGGAATTCAGAAGGACAGCGTCTCGAGGAACAGTATAGGAGCTTCAATAAAATCCTACGATTTCCTTGAAGCTTAATACATCTGCATTGACAAGATATGTGGATCATGCATACACACTTTACTGGCCTGCTCTAGCAATAATGATGGTAAAGCGTTATTTTATGGTGCTTGTGGTCATGGTGACACTGCCAATTTCGAAAAGCAGATTGTTTTTTTTTAAATATTATATGCAGCATGTTTAAACTGGTGATAAGTGATTGATTACTCATCTGACTCCGGAGTTTTCGGTCTATAGGTTGGAAGTCGATTCCTAATCTGTGCTTCGATAACGCTGAAGCAAGACCGACAAAACTAGAGGAAAGGCCAAATTTAAATGGGGAACAGCTCAAGTCATCTGACTGTTACAAGACTCAACTGTGCTGGGGTGACAAAGAATGTAGGAAAGGGATGATGGGCAACATTTTGTTAGTCCGAAAGGCTAGGAAAGGTAATGGATATTACCACTGAATACATGCATACGTATTCATCTTCTTCGGGAGGCTTAATCAGTATTCTTATCGGGAGGACCTCTCTCTTCAACTGAAATATCATCTACCCAGAAACAGACAGAAACGCAAATAAAATGATCTAAAAGACGATCACGTGCAAAATGATAAACTGACACACAATAACAGTAATATGCGGTACCTAATCGAAGAAGGCAATAATAAAAATGTTCTCTGTACTTGCATTAGTTTCTTAGCCGAGTCATTAATAACTTGTGATGGCCAGGAGTACAAATCACGAAATAAATCCCATAAATACGCAAAGTGAATGTCATTTTTAATATGAAAAATAAATCTTACCCATCCAAAATGAATGATACTTCCTGATGAAGATTGGATAGAGCAAACTGCTTAGCGCCACGGTAGTACCACCAAGCAGGGATACCACAAGGAAGCTCTTCATGTGTCTCTGAAACAAATTTTGGTGACTCAGCCCTAAACGTTAAGGTTGCTAAAACTTGCTTACATTGAACAATCTGAGAACTTTCAATCAGTGCCCTTCTCGTCCATTCCATTGTACATCCAGTGCGTCTGACACAAGGACGCAGACAGAATTACACCAGAATTGCGCAACCAGAGAAAACTCGTGCACCTATAGGGTTTAAGGCGCCAAAACCATCAGGATTTCGAACAAATTCCCAGACTTTATAAGGCTCCGGAAGTTAAACGCCTTAGAATTATTCTCGACTAGATTCACCAAATAAAAAGACATAATCAACAAGCAAAAGTTATTCCGTGTCAACCGTAGATATTTTGTGGAACATAAGCCGAGCAGACTACGCAGTTAATAAGTTACATTGCACTCGCCATCGGGAAACCAAAATAGATCGAATTTAGTGAGCATGAAATGCCAAAAATAGGGCGACAAATAAAAAAATATGAATAAGGCAGAAAATTCAGACAAGTAGGAAGTCAGTACCCAACTGCATAATGGTTAGCAGTAACAAAAATGACCTGGCAAGCACGTCAATTCGTGGGTTTATCGTAGGGATAAGGAAAACACATGCTGCTGCGATTTTCAGGCCCAATTCCTTGTAGGAAAAGAAGGAACAATACGCCAGGAAGAGGGAATACTTTGATATGTACGCAAGAAGTGGAGAATATGCGGGAGAACTTTGACTGTCGGGCAGTGTCCGAAGTGTGTGACCCTGGCAGTCACCGCAGTAATGTCCTATGTGCGTCTGCCACACGTAGATTACTGGCAAGACCAGATTGGCGTAGGCCAGCTTGTGAACGCGCACTTAATCGCTACCATGAGATGTTGAGCGTTGGCGCAGTTTGCGGCACATGCGATTAGCTGTTACAGAGACGACCGAGAAATGTAATCACGTGACATTATGCCTGGCGTGGGGCGAAGGTGTAAGACGGTGCAGCGCTACTACAAGTTAAATGAGTGGAGCACCCAAACAGAGCTATTAAGCTTGACCAGCTTTCCTCGTGCCACCACATGCGCCAGTGCGAGCGCATGCTTATACGTGCGTGGGCTCGACCAAGCCCCGTTTGTGAGGATAAAACGCACCTGTGTGCCTTCAGCTTCGAAAAACTAGAAGGGGCTAGTGCTGATAGGAAACAAATTTACAAGAATATTTTTAAATATTGAACTTTAAAAAGGCTGTTAATTAAAATACTGTCGCATGATCGCACAGATGTAAACGGTAGGCTAGTTTACACGTATATATGAGAAAAAAGTAGCAAAAGTAGCTCGGAAACAAAAATTTTATTTTCCTGACGTTCCAATAGCAGACTAGCTGCCGTCGTTGGAAGTAAGTGTGTTACAGCGTGTCACTGTATTTATACTTGGTGATATACATGGCTACTAGGAGGTTGTGACGGTAGCAGAAGTGGGCTTGCGACGTTTATAGCCATCAGCCATCGTGCCACTTGATGTTGGGCTGAAGGGGACCGGTTGACGCCAATCCATGTGCCATTCCTTGGGTTTTGTTCTTTGTGTCTGTTTTTAGCTGTCTCCAATATTTGTTTACGAAGGTAGAGGAAGAAGACCTGGGGACTGGAGAGGATCCTCAGTTATCTTACTACTGGATGACAGGTTTATATCATTCC